ATATAAACATATCGTACAGTTGTTAGGTATTGTACGATATATAACCATATCGTACAGTTGTTAGGTATGGTACGATATATCAACATATCGTACAGTTGTTAGGTATGGTATGATATATAAACCTATCGTACAGTTGTTAGGTATGGTACAATATATAAATCTTGTTGGTATGTTTTAATAAAATCGTACATTTTAAATAAAATAAAATTAACAATTTGTACATTTTAATTTTCGTATATCTACATAAGTTTTTAGTTTTAAACATAAAAATTTTGTCATTTTTAGGTATGTAATATATCTTTTAATTTTTGGGGTTGGTTATATTAACATATTGAATGTTGAAAATGGGTAGTATATAAAAATATTTTAAAATTGTTGTTTTGAAATTTTAAAAAATTTGAAAGGGGAAAATATTATTTATGTGAGATGTTTTACTAAATGCATTTTTATAAAAGTAAAAGTAAAAAACCAAAAAATTTTTTTTTGGGAAAAAACATTATAAAATTTTTTAAAACTTTTTTTAGACAGATTTTATTTTAAATTGAAATATGAAACTATATGTGTTGTACACATGGATTTTTTTAATTAATTGTCACCCTGAATTGTTTTGACCCATATATGCCTTCAATTGATATGTATTTAGTTAAAACATTTTGATATAATTAAGCTCAGGGCATTTAGTTTCACACAATAGTTTGCTATACAATATAAAAGTGTGTATCGATGTAGTGACCCTTAGGTGTGGTCAATTTTGACAATATGGCATGATTAATGTAACAAGAAGATGCTTAGTAACATGCTTAATGATTAAGCACTGAAGTTTCTGGGAAGAAATTTTTATAACTTGTTTACTATATAGGTCTATGTAAACTAAGTGACAATCAAGAATGGGACAATTTTTACCACAGGTAACAATTTTTCTTTCTTTCTATTTTTTGGTAGTGGTGCACAGAGCAATGCAACAAGAAGACCTAATATGTTTTCCTATATAAGTCTATATACACTAAGTGAACCTAGGATAGGGCCAATTGTCATGATTTATGTAACTTTTGTACAGGACCATAATATGCTACATGCCAAACATAAGTTTTTGGCATTGTAATGTGAAGTCTTGTCAAATTCAACATTGTGTTGTAGGAGATGTTGCAATTTTCTTAGGGGAGCAGATAATTTGCTAAATAAAAAGATGTTGTCATTGCAAAAATACAAGAAAGTTTAACATGTCAATCACTTTAACAATGAGATACATTTTCATTGACAACTGACCCTCAATCAGTTTCTTTACCATTAATAAATCATATCCTTAAAGGAACTTCACTGAGGTACAAATGCCTAAAATATGAAATTTTTATTTCTTATATAGATCAGCAGGTGATGCATAAAAAACTGAAAGATGCAAAGATAATTAAGAAGTTTACTTTTAACAAGTATCATATGCTTGTTATCTCAACCCAATTTCACCAAAAAGCATTGCAATGTTTGCCAATTTTTGGTAAATTTTCACAATTAGAATAAATGGATTAAGCAAATGATCTGAAATTTTGCACACAAGTTATTGGTATAAACCTACATCAAGTGGAACTTAAAATTCGAAAAAAATATTCCTTTCATGACAAAAAAAATCTCAGTGAAGCCCCCTATGAAAATAGATTTCCATGACAATTCTCAGTAAAGAAATACTTAACAAGGCCTAACAAACAATCTAAATTTTAAAGCAATCATTTCTTTCTACAAATAATAATGACAGACTACTTGATGTGAGTAGTTATGATGTACCCGCTTCATAATATTATACTGCTGGCTGTACATCATCAACATCACTAGCATGACCTGTATATCACTGTACTAGAGACATAGCAGTATAAAATATACAGGTGAACTACCTCACATTGGAGCAAAACTTTTACAGGTAATGTAATAACTCTATAATAAATACATAGTTAGAAAAGCATAGATTGAAGTATTAATAATGCCCAGCACTATGACTAGATTAACCATACATTTTTCATTTGCTTTTCTGCTAAGAGAAGCCAAACTTTCATATTGCTATTTGGTAGCATTTTTAAAGAAAATCAAACTTCATAAATACATTAAATGTTATATCCATACAAATTTCATTAAAACATCATGGTATGTTATCACAAACACTTTAGTATTAGAAACATAACTAAACAAAATCAATAACATAATAAATAACATATCACATCATAGTATAACATTATATCATAGAACAATGTAACATATAGTAGAAACAATGACAATATATCATATATTGAGCTAGTGAAAATAAACAATAATTATTAACTGTTACAATGGTGAAATCTGACACAGCAATCACCGCAGTATAAAGCTGGGCTTGCTGACCAATTTTCACAAGAATTCTTTCAATAACCATAAATATAAAACACCTAGCTGGAGATCACACTGGAATTTTTCATATTGATAATTTTTCATATTTACAAAAGTTTTGTAAAGGGTCATTTAGAATAATTCCTATGAATTTTTGAGGCTCAGTAGATAATTGTATTGTTTAAAGAATATGTGGATAAAGAAGGCCGATAGACACGATGCCATCACGAAAGCTCACCTCTGTGTACTTTGTTCTCAATGAGTTAAAAATCCAACAAAACGCTATAATATGACCTTAAAAGCCAAGTTCATGTCCAAGTCAAAGTAAGTCAGGTCTACTTAAAGGACAAACAAATTACTGTTTTCAAATACCAAGAAAATACAAAAAAGTAAAATAACTAAGTTATAGCAATCCAAAAAAAAGCTGTATTTGAAATCTTGACATGTCTGTAAACTCAGCCATTAATCTTGTCTATTTATTTTCAACAATGTTTTATTTGTTCAAAAGTATCAGCATTGAGCAAGTAACATTTAAATTTGAAATAAAATGATGAAAACCACCTATCCTCTATTTCAAATGTAATACTAAATTACCAGTTTAACAAACACTACTCTTTTTATCAATGTTTATAGTAAGGTTTATATATCAAAGTTTTTATAAAATATTTTCATGGGGCTAAATGCAAACAAGGCTTTATGTTTCAACTCACTGCAAAAGATTATGATAGATATACCAGGTAGTTAACAACAGATATTTGGTGCCAGGTATTGGATAATGAGAAAATATCAGCACAATAAGTCATTCCTAAAATGATATTCTCAAAATAATCTCCATGGATATTTGTACATGCTTCAACCATTATTTGCAAATAGGCCTTTTACTAAAGTCATATCAACCATTTTTGTTTGTACTCAGTCTGACTCACTAAGTCTATACTAACAGGTAATAGTTTATTGATCACTGCATGTGTTTGGACAACAATATAAATCAGTATATGTATTGTGATTTCATTCTCCCTATCAGTCACAACAAGTAAGAATATCAATATTTCTGGTGACAAACCATTTCCTCCATTATTGAAAGCTGCATATTTCTGCACAAGTTGAAAACATTTTTTAAAACTCAAGTTTTTCTTACCAACTTAGGGTAACATTTTACAATGGATTGCTGTAGGTCATAATATTAAATTAAATAAACTAATTTTATTTTCAGAAAATGTAAATTAAACAAATTTTTGCATAGCTATCAGATTCTAAGAAAATCATTCTAACATGCTTGACACTTCACACTTGAACTCAACATGTCCAAGTTAATCACAGAATTAACATGTACGACATAGAAATATTCAAGTTACAAAATATGAACGAGATACTTTATAGACATGCAGATTTTTGTCTTCATATTTACATTGATATTATTTTAACCTAGCTTTCCTTATTAAATGACATATCGTGCCAACAGTAAACATAAATACACACTGTGTTAATGTAGTCATATCATACAGGTAACACACACTGGTTGAAATAGAAACAGGAGTCACCATCTGGTAGGGGGGGACCTTGCTCAACTTTTTCTTACTTCTTACGTCAAACATGTTGCAGAAGGAATATTACAGTAAGCAAATTTTTAAAAACAAGAGGGCCATGATGGCCCTGGGGTCCCTCACCTGTACATAGGCCCCCAGGGCGGGGCCAGTTTAAACCAAAGGGCTTTTACTTGAACAAACTTGGAAGACACCCATTAGAAGATGTTTCATGATGTTAAGTTTTGACTATACACAAATAATGAAAAACAATAACTTTTGCCCCCCCTCCCCCCTCCCCCTGGCAGGGCCAATTTTAACCCAAGGGCTTTTATTTGAACAAACTTGGTAGACACCAATTAGAACATGTTTCATGCTAAATATCTTAGCTCTAGCTCTTTGTGTTCTTTAAAAGAAGATTTTTAAGTTTTTAATTACTATATGCAATATAGGGAAAATCAATGACCCCCTAGGGCGGGGCCAATTTTGACCCAAGGGCTTTTATTTGAACAAACTTGGTAGACACTGATTAGAAGATGTTTCATGCTTAATATCTTAGCTCTACCTCTTTGGGTTCTTTAAGAGAAATTTTTTTAAGTTTTTACTATGTGCATATAGGGAAAATCAATGACCCCCTGGGGCGGGGCCAATTTTGACCCCAGGGCTTTTATTTGAACAAACTTGGTAGACATCAATTAGAACATGTTTCATGCCAAATATCTAAGCTCTAGCTCTTTGGGTTTTTAGAAGAAGATTTTTTTAAGTTTTTACTATATGCATATAAGGAAAATCAATGACCCCCTGGGGCAGGGCCAATTTTGACCCCAGGGCTTTGATTTGAACAATCTTGGTAGACACTCATTAGAAGATGTTTCATGCTTAATATCTTAGGTCTAGCTCTTTGGGTTCTTTAAAAGAAGATTTTTTTAAGTTTTTACTATATGCATATAGGGAAAATCAATGACCCCCTGGGGCGGGGCCAATTTTGACCCCAGGGCTTTTATTTGAACAATCTTCGTAGACACTCACTAGAAGATGTTTCATGCCAAATATCTAAGCTCTAGCTGTTTGGGTTTTTTAGAAGAAGATGTTTAAAGTTTTTTCTTTTGGTTGCCATGGCAACCAGAGTTCTGCATGGAATGGAATTCTTTGAACAACTTTGTTAAGGCTTCACACAAGGAACATCCCTGTGAAGTTTCATTATGATCTGCCTTATGGTTTCAGAGAAGATGTCATTTGAAAAGTGTGAACGGACAACGGACGACAGACGACGGACGAAGAGTGATCCTAATAGCTCACCCTGAGCATATGCTCAGGTGAGCTAAAAAAACTGAAATTATAAAAATTTGACCGTCAAGTTAATTTACAAGTCAGTGTCAAATTGGGTTTGATCTATTTTAAGACATGGTCCTTCAGGAAGATGTGCTCAAATATGAGAACATCCATTCATAAATAACAAAAGTTATAACCAATTATAGCGAAATTCAATTAATTGACCTTCAAGGTCAAGGTTTATTTTGAGTAATGGCCATAATTAATTTGTTACTCATAAAGGTCTTGTCCTCAGGATTATTGTGTCCAAGTATGGAGACAAGCTATCCATTAATACATTTATAGCCAATTATAGCAAAAATCAAATTGAAGGTCAAGGTCAATTTTTAGTGAATGTCTAGGTTAGTCTGGTCAACTTGAAAGTATTGTCCAAAGGTTGTTTTGAAGGTAATCCATCGAGAAATAAAAAAAAATTATGACCAACATTAAAAGTTTTCGGACAGCAAAGACAACATGACTGTAGCAATAGCTATATTTTTTTTCTTTGAAAAAGTCTAGCTAAAAACTCCCTAAGCACTGATAAAATTGATATGATATAGGAAACACTAGCTATATAAACATCCATCCATAAAAGCTTAACTAAACAATATTCTGCTATTTTCTGCTATGTCTGCTAATTACTTATTTACAATAGTTTCAAAAGTCAAGAATGATTCCCTGCAATAAAAATGGTGCTTTTCAAATTTATGATAATTATTCATAGATTAGATTTTTTAAAACAAAAAAACTATTCTTATGAGGGTTTTAATTACATTAATTACAAAATCTACATGTAAATTGTTCTATCAAATATGTTACAATCCAAAAATGAAGATCTTTTCCAACATAAGAAAATTCCCATTTCTGTCATGATATGATAATCCACGTTGTCTTTTTTTTCCATATTTGAAAACATTCCACCAATCAGACTGTATGCACTGAAGATTCAATGATTGCGTTTGTTTTTATTTCCATCTAATGTATTTGTCTACATCAGAAGATGTCAGGACATTTTGTCCAGTCTTTATCCCAGTATTTCCCTGTATATAACCAGTCTTCTTTCTGTGTAACTGGATGTCTTTCAAGCTTGAACCACCTACAGTAAATGGAGATACATTAACTCTGCAAAATGTAAGTTTCCCCCACTTATCCCAGGTACAACTTGGTAAATATATCATTAATAAATGCAACATGTTTATCACTCTATAGTGAATGCAACTAGAGTTAACACTTAAGGTGATTTATACAAACACCCACAGGGGCAGAAGCAGAACAGGGATAGCTGAGGGGGGGGGGGGGGTAAAAGAAGAGAGAGATAGAAAAAGTGAGATAAATATGTAGAATTATTTTAATTAAACCTGTATATGATCAGTGAAGCGGAACATGCTGGCGATATGCACAACTAGGTATGGTACAGAGGTACTGATCACTACTGTGAAGTTTCATTGAAAACCTACCAGCACTTTGACCTGTAAAAGCCTGACAAGATTTTTCTATTGATAGCTCTGCACTGGCGGCTATTTTGTGCAGCAAAGCTGAACATGCCAGGGATTTGCACAACTATTGATGGTACTTATCACTCCTGTGAAGTTTCATTGAAATCCTGCAATCAGTTTGATTTTTAAAGATCTGATTTTTAAAGTCTATTTAGCTACTGTGACATACAGACTTTAACAATTTTCATAACTTCTGTAGAGAACCACCTAAGATTATTCCTGTAAAGTTTGGTCAAAATCCATCAAGTGGTTTAGAAGGGGAGGGTGTATAAAGAAATTGTGAACAGTGATGAAATACAGACACACTGCTATCACAAAAGCTCGCCTCTGAGCACAAAGTGATCAGGTGTGATATAAAATGAGATTACCATTATTATTTTTGTTATTTAAGGTCATTTAAAGGGCATATAACTTATACATAAGTTTTATTCATACTTTTGGTTAATGTTTTTCTTTTATCACAATACTAAAAATTATGGAATTCTATTTATCATTTGTGTTCTTTTAATGCAGTAAAGAGAGGCTAAATGCATGTAGAGAGGCTAAAATTATGTAAAAAAAAATCACTTTTAAAGAAAATTGGCACAAGTAAAGAAGAAAAATTCAGAAACTGCTCATGACCAATTATTGTAATTTTACACAATCACTCAAATAAAAGTCAAGCATATGAATTGCTGTAGCTCTTTGGGTTTTTTAAAAGGAGATTTTTTAAGTTTTTCCTATATACATTTAAGGAAAAATCAAAGACCCTTCCCCCACCCGGGTCAGGGACAATTTTGACCCCAGGGCTTTTATTTGAACAAACTTGGTAGACACCCACTAGAAGATGTTTCAAGCCAAATATCTAAGCTCTAGCTCTTTGGGTTTTTTGAAAGAAGATTTTTTTAAGCCTTTCTTTGGGTTGCCATGGCAACCGGAGTTCTGTATGGAATTAAATTCTTTGAACAATTTTTAAAGGTGACCACCAAAGGAACATTCCTTTGAAGTTTGGATGAAATTGGCTTAAAGGTTTATGAGGAAATGTTGTTTAAAGTAAAAGATTACGGACAGCCAGATGCTGGACGAATTTGTGATCAAAAAAGCTCACCTTGTCACAGGTGAGCTAAAAAGTGAGTTTTGCATTTATAGCAAAATTCTATTTCCTTCACAAATTATGTGCTCTTTAATAACCATGGCAATTGGCACAATGTTCATACAATGTTTAGATATAAACCAATGTAAAATGAAATAGAACAGTCATTTTAGGATGGAAATGCATCTTTTATAAGTTTTGCCAACTCCTTCAGCAACATATGAGATGGTTGAATTTATGAAGGACAATGAAGCGGGACAAGCAAGTCAATTGATTTCAGCTGGCGATCCAAAGAAATACAACAAATACAAGATCACAGACAGGAAGGGGCGACAAAGATAGAGGCAAATTGTCAGGATGTTAGCAACCTATATGTATACAATGCCAAAAACTCAATTTCAAAATTTTGCTTCAAAAATGTAAATCATAGAAAGAACAGTAATTTTAACATAAAAGCTCCATACTGTGGTGTCCATTCATCCCGTCTTTTCTTTCTCTCCCTTCTTGCAGCTCTTTGTTTCTCCTCTAATCTGTTCTTTTCTTCCCCAGCCAAGTCTGGTAAAAATAATTAAATCTATTGATGTAAGAACTATAATTCACAACAAATACAAAATATAATGAGTTACACATTTGGATATAAATCACTATAAAAGAATTTCATTTCACTTCTTACAAACTTATATAACAATCTGATGATGCAACTCACACAAATTGTTTTGTACTATCTGAAATTTTACCTCTATGTGTGACCTTGACCTTGGCCACAGGGACCTGAATTTTGTTAACATTTGTGCCATGTTCTATTACAATCCCCATAAGAATGTAGAAGTTTTGCTCCGGGCACACATTTGTCAATTAGCTCCAAAGTGTGAACTTTGACCCAGAGACCTGGATCATGTGTGGAGCAATATATCTCATGGTGGTGAACATTTCTATAAAGTAAAAATTCTTCCATGCTTGTAAAATTGGATGCTGCTTGCCAGGGGCACTCCCATAATACATGCTTTTCAAATGTGCATATAACAGCTAAGTTTTATGTGAAAATGCATAAAAAATGAAGTCATTTTGGAGCATTGCAACTCATCTGGCACCCCCTCTTCCCAAATGAAATTTTCAACATGGGTTAAACTAACTGAAACAATGATATGCAAAAATACATAGGTATGTTTAAAGTCATATAGTTTTAACTGAAGAATCGTTGAACTAACCTTTATTGATACATTTACTAACATCTATTTCCACTTATGACAAATTTTTGAGACTCAAATTTCAAATATAGAATGGGTAGTTTGCTTCAAATACTACAGAAAAATTTACTGAATAGTTTACATATTTCTTCCAATATTTTCATGTTATCTACCTTTACAACAGCCATTTGTCATACCCGGCTAAAATATGTATGATCACATTCTATATGTAGTATATCAGAAAGATTAATTGCTTTTATTGAAATCATAGCTTTAATTGCAATCTTAAACTTGTGGGTTTTTTTTTCTTTTTTTTGCAGTGTTTTCAAAAAAAAAGACGTTTATAACATAATTCAATTAAAGGAGATTATGAAAATTCAATTACTTTATTAGAACAAACACAACAAAAATAACCATAAGTATGTTCTCTAATTACGTATGTTCTCTAATTATCGGTTGGCAAAATTACTTTATTTGGAAAATGGCAATTCGTTCATACTGATCATTTAAAAATAACACAATATTCCAAACTTCAAGTGTGCAAGACGTCTAATATTGTGCAACATTTTGATTGTTTGCCAGTTATCAAGTTCATTTCCTATGTGTGTAGTCACAGAAATCTGTGAGATAACTGAAGTCGGGGCTGCAGATCCACCTTATAATTGGACATGTACTGTACTCCTCAAAAGAAAGTGATAACTATAACTTATCAAATTTTTATTCCACAGAAAATGTTGTCTTAACCAAATTAGATGCAACAATTATATTAAACCCCTACAGCATTTGAGGATGTAACACAAGTATATGTCTTGATACTCCAGTAAGTTTAGTTGATTAAAAAGAATGAATACTAAGTTGTATTCCCTGACATAACAGTCATATACCTATATTTCCTTCCTCTAGAATTCTTACATCAGGACGTAACCTGGAATCTGTGGGAGGTAATGTGTCCAGCATAAAATCTTTTAACTCATTCAATGCTATAGCAAATGCTGTAAAACTGAAATACTGAAACAAACAACAAAACAATATTATTATAAACATGCCTGATTCATTATGTGGGGCATTGCTCAAAGGAAATATGATCCAAGGTATATTCATCTTTTTATCAATTTAAAATATTCATTAAACCACATATTCATATCCAACATTTTTATTCTATAACTGAAGGTCAGCTACCAGCCTATTTCCAGAGTTCAGTTAGTCATAAAAAACAAGAGTGCCATAATGGCCCTGAATCATTCACCTGACATTGCTAGAAAAGGTCACAATTTTAATAATGAGGTCATATTGGGTTTGTCATTTTTTTTACTGAAGTATCATAATATTTTCAGAATATTTGTTGATGTGTGCTACTATTTTTGCTTCATGGCAAATATCAAAGATCTAGGGATGGCAGTATCACAAAAGATGATATAAATGTATTTTCCTATACATGTCTTTATTAATTTAGTGACCTCCAGGGCATGTTTGTTGTTTTTTTAAACATCAGGGTCATGATTTATATAACTTTTGTGTAGGTAAGGTGATGTTATATGCAAAATATTTAAACTCCTGGCATTGCATTTTCAAAGGAGAAGATTTTTTTAAATACATTTTTACAACACAAGTCTATATACAACCAACTGACCACAAGGACCAGTTTTGACCATAGGGGCACGATTGGTACTGAAGTTTCTCCTGTGAAGTTTCATCCATCCCCCCCCCCACCCCCAAACAGTTTGACCTGTGAAAGCCAGACAAGCTTAATGCGGACAAACTTATGGAAAAGTGAAACTAATAAAATGAAGTAATATGGTAAAATTTAAGATAAGGTTAACCATGCAAGACCCTATTTTCAAGTATAAAAAGGAAACATACTTATTTGTACTGATAAGTAAGTGTGGAAATGAAGCCTAGGGTGGGGCCATTTTTTATGGCCCCAAGGGGCATGATTATTATAACTTTTGCGGAGGATCACAAGGTGATGCTACTACATGCCAAATATCTGAGCTGTAGGCATAATAGTTTCTGTGAAGATTTTTTAAAGATTTCATTTTTAAAGTGTATTTTTAGCTCCTGTTATCTACTTAAGCATCAGACTGGGATCATTAATGTAGCTTTTGTAGAGGACCCACTAAGGACCATTCCTGTCATAGAGGACCCATTAAGGACCATTCCTGTCATAGAGGACCCACTAAGGACCATTCCTGTCATAGAGGACCCATTAAGGACCATTCCTGTCATAGAGGACCCATTAAGGACCATTCCTGTCATAGAGGACCCATTAAGGACCATTCCTGTCATGGAGGACCCACTAAGGACCATTCCTGTCATAGAGGACCCACTAAGGACCATTCCTGTCATAGAGGACCCACTAAGGACCATTCCTGTCATAGAGGACCCACTAAGGACCATTCCTGTCATAGAGGACCCACTAAGGACCATTCCTGTCATAGAGGACCCACTAAGGACCATTCCTGTCATGTTTAGTCAAAATCCATCAAGAAGTTTAGGAAGAGATGTTGTTTAAAGAAATTGTGGACAATGACAAAGGACAGACACACTGCCATTACAAAAGCTCAGCTCTGAGCAAAAAGTGTGTTCAAAATAGCCACAGGAAAGCTTATAATTCTAGTGGCCACTGGCCACAGATAACATGTGACCGCTACTCACAGCTATTTATATAATGATTTTTATTGGAGGAGGGTGGAGGGGAATCAAAATGATCATTGTTGACAAATGATGGCTACTTTGAAGTGATCATTTACTTAAGTTAAACTGATGACAACTTATTTAAATCATGAAGGGAGAAAAGGTTAATAGAAATATTATAGTTTCTCACCTTATCGGATTTCTCAGGACGAGGAGTGGCTCTCCATAATACTACCTGATCTGGTATATTGAGATTAAATGTAGAAAAATGGTGTGTGGGAATGTTGTCCTCCACCTCAGAGTCATTGTTTCCATTTTCCTGAATTATATTTCACATTTATTAATTAGGGTATTGTCACTTGCTTGTGTTGCCTCTTTAAACAAAGTTTTGTTTTTATTGTTTTATCAATATATATAAAATTTATACCTAGCTATAATGAAAATAGATCAGAACATCTGGTCAATTACAAATATAAGTATACTAATGTAGTACATATTTCTGGCAACTCAATAACTTTGAATGGAAAAAGTAAGTCTCATATTTTGTTTATCATTATATTTATTTGGTCAGGCTAATGGATATTTCACCAACCAATTTATCACTCTCAAGATCAAGACATGATGAATATAACTTTAAAACATGATATATCATAATGACATATTATTCAAAGACACTGGTGATTATTGTAAAATAATAAAACTATAATACCAGGTCTTTCAGAAAAAAATCAATAGTTATAAGGCATTAGTGTTAATTAAATCATAATCTCCTCATGAACACGGTGGTTATTATTGGTAAACTATAATATGTGTATAACATTCTACTTACAGATACTGTGTGTTTTGGGCTAATTGGTTTTGAACTGAGAAATTCCTCATATTTAGAATTATCTATTCCAAACAAATCATACACCCAACTCCCATATAGTGACTTCACTTTCTGTTTGCTACAAAAAAATGTAAATTTATGAAGTTTTATATTTAATAGTAACACACTTAATGAGTAACAATATTTAACTTTTACTTAAATTATGACATTTTCATTGGCCAAACATAACATCTATATTCTAATCTTGTAAAATCATTTTACATGCCTGTATGTTATCACTCAAGTTTAAACAAGGCTTTCTGCTCACAGAGTTCTCCACTTTTCTCCGTGCTTGATAATTAAACAAGAGCCCGGTTTGAGCCGGGTGATGCTCCCCGAATAGGTTTTGGACACAGGAATGTACACCTCTTGTAATTTCAGAGTTATGTCCCTGGAAAAAGTTCAAAGTGCAAAAATTCCAAAATTAGGCAAGGCAGAGTTACTGTTCTTTGCACTGCACTTCTAATCAATGTGATCTATCAACCTACAAAGTTTCTTGAGGATATCTCTTATGATTTCCGAGTTATGTCCCGGACGACTTCAAAAAGTAGAACTAAACAAAGGGCAATAACTCCAGAATTAGGCAAGGCAGAGTTATGATTCTTGTGCACTGCACATCTACCCATTGAGATATATCTACCTTCAAAGTTTCATGTTGATATCTCTTACAGTTTTACAGCTATGTCCTGGACAAGATTTTCTAAAAGGGGAGATAATTCAAAAATGAGGCTTAACAGAGTTATTGTACTTTTGCGATGCACCTCTACTCAATGAGATCTATCTACCTACAATTTTTCATCTTTATATCTCTTATAGTTTTAGAGTTATGTTCTAGACAAAGTTCAAAGTGTTTAAATTAACAAAGGGCAATAACTCCAAAATTAGGACAAAAAGAGTTATTGTTCTTATGCACTGCACATCTACCCATTGAGATCTATTCATCTACATAGTTTCATGTTGATATCTCTTATAGTTTTAGAGTTATGCCCCGGACAAGATTTTTCTATAAGGGGTGATAATTCAAAAACCAGCAGACATTTTCACAAAAAATCTTACCATTTATCTTAAGTTTTTCACTTACGATAATCGTAAGTTAAATCTTAAGTCAATTTCACAAAGCCACTCGTAAGTTAAAAATTTATCTTAAGATAAAAAATTCACTTACGATAAATCTTACGACAAAAACATCCCTAGCAACGTTCATTTGATAGTGATGTGCATGCTCTATATTTGATTCCGGTTTTAAAATCAAGATAAAGAGCTTGAAATATGTATTGAACACAATCAAATTTCAATAAGAACAAAAAAATTATTCAAACTAATATAATTTATATCTTGATTGAAGATAATTATATATATCTAAAAGATTCAAAAAGAAGGTCTACTATGTTATTAATAAATAAAAAGGTACATGCTGGCAATGAAATTGAACTCACCAATTGTACAAATTATAAGTTTTCAATAATACTAGTCTACAGTATGGAGTTCACATTATTTAAAACTATTCATAACCCTCTCCATCGTGACGTCATCAAGTCATGACGTCACAAATGTATATATTCAAAAATAATTATACCTCAATTTGTGTTATTTATAGCATACTGTTTGCTTAATATTTAGTTCTCCTCCAACTTTTTGTTTATTTTTATTCAGTTTAGGTAAGAGATACATGATATTTTACCCTTAAGAGAGAAAAAATTACACTTACGAACGGGGAAGATCTATCGTAAAGTTACGACAGATTTTGCACTTAAGATTTTCTTAAGATTTTTTGTGAAAAGGAGATTTATCGCAAGATTTCTCTTACGACAAAAAATTGTCGTAAGATTTTTAGTGAAAATGTCTGCAGGCAAAATAGAGTTATGGTTCTTTGACACTGCACTCCCCTCAATGCCCTCTACCACTGTATGAAGTTTCAACAAAATATCTCCAAGGGTTTTCAAGTTATGCTCCCGACAAGACAACAGACGGACAGACAGACGGACGACCCGAAATTTTTCGGGGAGCATAATAAAAACATGATAGGAAAATGGGTATAATTCTGCATAGTCAACAAGTATGACAAGTTTAAAGAAATTCCTTAAAGAGATTTTAGAACATGCCAAGGTCATGACAAAAGCTCCAATTTTCCTCCAAAAGTGAAGCTAATTTAACTGTTTAATAAAACATTACATGTCAGCATGATAATTATTAAAATGTGAACAAGAGCCATGTCAACATGGCCATCCCCCGCCGAATGTGTTTGCTCATTGGAAGAATGTATATGTAGTAGAGCAGAATAATTCCATTTTAAGAGGTCTTTTGGTAATGAAAACTGATGGCTATAGTGATTACAGATTTGAAACCTATGTGAATACTGATGGCTGAAAATAACAAAGGGCAATAACTGAAAAATAATGCAGGGTAGGTTATCATTCTTGTGGTCTGCATCCCTCCTCAGTAAAATCTATCCACCTATGAAGTTTCAAGTTGATACCTCAAATACTTTTTGAGAAAAAAATTGAATTGAAAAATTAAGTATGAAAAATAACAAAGGGCAATAACTCAAAAATTATTAAAGGTAGAGTTATCATTCTTGTGCAGTACACACCTCCTGAGTGAGATCTATGCACCTATGAAGTTTCATTTTGATATCTCAAAGGCTTTTTGAGTTATGCTCTGGACAAAAATTAATTTTGAAAAATAACAAAGGGCAATAACTAAAAAATAATGCAGGGTAGAGTTATCATTCTTAAGCACTGCACTCCTCCTCAATGAGATCCATCCACCTTTGAAGTTTCAAGTTGATACCTCAAATACTTTTTGAGATAAGCTCTGGACAAAATAGCATGAAAAAAAACAAAAGGCAATAACTCAAAAATTGTATAGGAAAGAGTTATCATTCTTGCGCACAACATTCCTCCTCAATAAGATCTATCCACCTATGACATTTCATGTTGATATCTCAAACACTTTTTGAGTTATGCTCCACTCAGGTGAAAAATTAGGTATGAAAAATAACAAAGGGCAATAACTCAAAAATTATGAAAGGTAGAGTTATCATTCTTGTGCACTGCACACCTCCTGAGTGAGATCTATGCACCTATGAAGTTTCATGTTAATATCTCATAGGCTTTTGGAGTTATGCTCTGGACAAAAATCAATTTTGAAAAATAACAAAGGGCAATAACTCAAAAATCATGCAAGGTAGAGTTATCATTCTTGTGCACTGCACTCCTCCTCAATGAGGTCTATCCACCTATGAAGTTTCAAGTTGATAACTCAAATACTTTTAGAGATATGCTTCGGACAAAAATGTCGGACGGAAGGACGGACGGACGGACTGAAGGTCGGACGGACGGAGACTATTTCTATATCCTCCGCCGAAAATTTTCGGCGGGGGATAAAAACAGGTAATGACATATTCAGACAGTTGATTATTATAATTTACATAATATAAATAACTTAATAATTAATAATTTCTTACATTTTTTTTTGTCAATTCAATGATTTATAATTAAAGTCATATTTAATGATTTAAGTGTAATGTAAAATTAATCAAATAAGCTCCTGAATCATCATAATTATTTTGTGATAACATCATTCGCATGATTATCCTCAATACCTCACATCGTTCTCTAAAGTTTCAATTACATTTCAATTTTTCTGATATGAGAAATAATAATGCAAATTTCAGAAACTTAAGTTCTATAAAATTGTTATTGTTTTGTTTTATTTGACAGCTTCAATACTTCATACCTTGTGTTCTGCACACTGTCTAATATAGGTTATATTTCTGCCCAAAAGTTCTATTTTTTTCTATCAGTTCAAAAGATACAGAGCTGACACAAAATTTTGAAATTGATACAAAATGACTAAGTGTGACCTTGACCTGAGAAAAAAACACCTTTTTATCCAAGGGCCATAAATTGGCCAAAAATCATTCAAGCTGAAAACACATTTAATATGCACAATCACATTAGCTACCAATCAATCATGTAGTGCTTCATTGAAATTGTATTAGTGGTATAAGAGGAGTAGTCCAGACAAACTTTAAAAAATAAAAATTATTTAAGGGCCATAACTCTGACAAAAAACATTGAACCTAAAAATACCTTTGATATGAAAAACTAGACTTGGTACTGATCATTCCTGTAAAGTTTGGATGAAATTGCACCAGTAGATTTTGAGGAGTAGTTCGGACAAGTTTTGTGAGGGACGGCCAGATGGATGTACTTACGAAATGGTACTTATGTGACTTTTTGTTTCATCTTTTTAGTCATTTTAATCACATTAGGCCTAAAAAAAGACACAAGTAAAAATGAAATGAATAGGATTAAAGAAAATTTACAGTCACCTATTGTTCTCCTATCATTGTTGAGAGAAGGTCTTAATTAATTTGGTCTACATAAAAGTCTTGTTCTAAGGATTATAATGTCCAAGTATGAAAACAATCCATTCATAAATAACAGTTGAAATAAGTTATAGCCAATTATAGCTAAAATCAAGCAAAATTCAAAGATTTGACCTCAAAGGTCATTTATGAGGAAGTGATTATGAATGAAAATCAAGTTCAGTCTAGTCAACTTGAAGGTTTTGCCCAAGGGTTGTTATGTCTAAGTATGAAGGCAATCCACTGAAAACTAGAACTGCCACTGTCATGGTTTCAGAATCAACAGTGCTCATTTAGAGCTCAAGGACAACCTCCCTGCCAAATATGAGGGTAGTAAGCCAGTACATTGCTAAGTTATTTATTCTACATGTTTTTAGTGGCAAAGATCAAAGTGACCTCAAAACTGAAACTGCCTCTGCATGACTTGAATACCCCAAACCTGCCCCCTTTACCCATTCATGCAACTTTGCCTGGAGGTGTTTTATGATGAATATATGACCACATAATTATATGCTTCAAATGTGAAAATGTCAAAATCAATACACTGTGGAAAGGCATTCTTAAGCATTTGAGCAGACGAGCTTATTGAAGTAAAAGTCCCTGTGACCTTGACCTTTCACCTAAAATTCAATTGAGGTCATCTACTAGTCATAACCAACCTCAAAACCAAATAAGAAGACTGTTTACCAAAGTATTCTGAACAACTTGAGCGTACCAAAGCCCCTGTGACCATATTTTGGACTTCAGTGACCTCAAAATCAAAAGGGGTCATCTAATGGTCATGACCAGCCGCCATGCCAAATATGAAGACTGTGGGTCAAAGGATTCTTAAGTTATTGGGCAAACAAGTTTTTTTTTAGTCAAGGCCCCTGTAACCTTGACCTTTGACTTGGTGACCTCAAAATCAATAGGGGTCATCTACTATTTATGACTAATCTCAATACCAAATATGAAGACTGTCGGTCAAAGGAATCCTAAGTTATTAGGTGGACAAGGAAAAACCGATGGACTGCTGGACGGACAAGCTGATTCCAGTATGCTGTGCAGGGGTATAAATAGAAAAATTCTAACCATTGCCAGTTTTCAGATGGCAACAACAATGTGACTGTAGCAATAGCTCCTTTTTTCTTTGAAAAAGTCAAGCTAATGACACTAAAATGAAATAAATTCACAGTGAATGAAAATATATTTGAGCAGTGTCATGACAAAACTAACGTAATGTGTTTGCGACCAGCATGGATCCAGACCAGCCTGCGCATCCGCGCAGTCTGATCAGGATCCATGCTGTTCGCTATCAGTTTCTCTACTTGTAATAGGGTTGGTAAGTGAACAGCATGGATCCTGATCAGACTGCGCGGATGCGCAGGCTTGTCTGGATCCATACTGGTCGCAAACGCACTATGTTGGTTTTGTCATGACATGGCTCATTTCTAGGAAATCACTTACTTGAAGTCATAAACAAATCCTTCAACTTTATGCAGATCTTTACCAAACCAGCCCCCTTGTTTGAAGTTTAACACAGCTTTATGTTTGGTTTTATGATTAATTACTTCCATTACCCCAGTCTGAAATTACAACAACATTGTATATTATCACAGCTTACTTGACTATTCTTGACATGGTTGTTTCTCAGTTCCTAAGTCTATTTTTAGCTCCTATGACCTGTAATGTTTGTTTGGTTTAAACACTGATTTAAACATTTTTGGTGGTCTGCCCACCAGCAATTACCAATTCTGCTGCAAGTGATCAACTTCTAATCCCACATGATTTTGGAATCAGTAGAGAGTATACTCCATGTGGGAGATTATCAGGGAGAAATTTGCTGAGTACAAGGATCATACCAGGGTTGTCCACATTACAAATCTGATGCCCTCCTTATTGAGCTAAGCAGGCAGACCTACCTATGTATCAGACTGAAACATTTATATAACTTTTAGGCTACCTAAGAATAATTCCAGTGAAGTTTGGTCAAAATCTACCAAGTTCTTCTGGAGGATTATTCTTTAAAGGGTACAATGCTATATGTGATGAAACATTTTTATGAAATAAAAAAAATGGTAAAGTTTTGTTGCTTCCATAACCTGTTAATCTACACACATGAAAACTGTATGTAAACAATAAAACTGAAACTAAATATTATGCTGCTACTATAGTGTGTTTAATATTAACCATTTACAAATGATTTCATGCATGTGCAACTCGCTAGAAAGAAAATGTACATACATATTTCTTTTGTACAAGCATTTTAGAATTTGCTTTTTTTTATTCAAACTAAAATTTTGTAAACTGCAAACAACAAAAATATAGCTTAATAGGCTTTAAAAAAAATTGTGAATAAGATAGATGACAAACGATAGAAACTGTGACTGCCAACAAAAAAGCTCATCAAAGCAATTTGTGCTCTAGATAAAACCCAATAAGGACAGGACAGAATTGACAAAGTGATTCCTATATAGCACCCCCCAACACATACATACTTGTTGCGGTTGAGGTATAACAACATCAACATTAAATTAACATATATTTGTTCTATCACTATCAGTTGTATATAAATCTAAATTAACAGACATGTTTTATTGTTTATTCAAAGCTACATCTCTCCTGATGATCCACAATATTTCAATAACATCAAACTTATGAAAAAATGTACAAAGGTTTTAGGAAAAGTAAAAGATTCAAGTATTAATATGCATGTTTTGTGTGAATAATGTCTAATTTTTCAGTATTTATAACTTTATTTCTTCTGTGTTACTAACGCGCTAAGGCCTTTTTTGTATAATTTGATGTTTTTTGTAATTTACAAGGGTTGTGAGTGCCACTGATAATGTGTTAATTGCTTCCTTTTGTTTAACTTTTAAATTCATTTTTAAAATTTTCATGAAAATTAATATGAATCTAGAGGCGTGCTGCTTTAAGCATAAACCACATTTTGTCAGGTCACTTTTTTTGCATGAATGATCTTCAAACTGTTTTATTTACTGACAATAACAACAACTTACATGCTCAATCCAGATCTTTCCTACTATCACATTATGTACACAACAATTTACATTCTGCCAGGTGTAAATTTCACCATGTCTGTAAATAAAAAATATCAGAACATTTAATTTTGCAACAACATACATTTAGAAGCAAATAAGACAGTCACAAGATACTTTAAAGAGAAAGTTACTATAGGAAATGAACAAAAGCCACTGCCAGATGGGAAAAATGCTTCACCCTTTTTACTTTACTTTTTCTAAAGGCAAAAAAATAAAATATTAAAACAAATCTTTAAAAAGAAAATGAAAGAATTTTTTTTAGTTTATCCTTTTTTTAAAATTTTAATAGGTGGATCTAGTCATACTTGTTTTGTCCAAGTTTGAATTATTTCCTAAAATAAACTAGAAATGCCATGTAACTCCATTAATGCCCACGCACACATCCGAAATTTCAAATGTTATGATAACATTTAGTTCCAAATTTGTTTGCACAAACAATTTTTTTATTTTAAGTTCAAGCCTTTAACCTATTCAATGTGAACACAAACATGTGTATTCCTATGTTAACTTTGAGTAGAATGTGTTTAGAAGAAAATGAAAGGAAATTGAAATTTTATTTTATTAAATTTAAAGGGTCATTGCTCTGCCAAAAATTATCGAACCATGACCAAATTTGAACTTGACCTGTGCATTCCTTTGACATATCCATATATCAAAAGGGTTGGAAAGGGTGGGGGATCACTATCAGAGACATAGACAGTTGTATTGTGATATTGCATTTCAAATTAACATGGACAAAGTGAGTAGCTCATGCATGGAGAGGAGGAATTAAAATTTGTTTCTCAGCATGTTTAACACAAGTTTTTATCAAATCTACAAGGTTATACATGCAGACATATTGACAAAGGGAAAAAGAAATAAAGAAGTTATACAAAAAAAAAAAATCCAGAAAATTCTATGTTCAAGGGGGGTAAATCTAATAAGTTTTGTGCTAGAGTTGTGACCCATGATGTCCATACTGTCATCTATCCATATTTCAAGTTTCATAGACATAAAAATATTTTCAGTCCTTTTTGCGTTATCACGGGATCAAGTTTTGAGGACAGGTGGACAGACGGATGAAGGGTAAACCTCCGTTTAAATCGGTAGGGGACTAATAACAATACACACAATCCAGATAATAACTTTAACTATAACCTACTTACTTGAGTAACTCTAACGTAATCACTCCTTTTGGGTTAATCTCTACAGATTTACCCCAAAATTTCAATTTTGGATGAATGGACCCGTGAAATTTGAACACATCAGATTCCACATGGAAAGCACTGATTGGTGGATGATGACACACTTGTTCTGTTACCAGTCGAAAGCCCAAGTCAGGTCTGTAAAATATATTCAATCTTTAAAAGATTCAGAAACTATCAGTAATTAGGGGCAAAGTTATAGCAAATTTTTGCATATAAGATAAGTAACAATAATTCTTGGTCCGAATTCTGTCCTTTACTAGAAACAGTTACAGACTGACAAATCTGAAGAGGAAAAAAGTATAAATTAAGAATAAATTAAGTACATTTGCACATCTAAAAAACACATCAAAGGGTAATAACTTAGAAGTACAAAGCTGTACATTCACCCATAGTTTCAAGCTGATATCTCTTTGTGCTCAGGTGAGCTAACAAAAAAAATGGCCAATGTTGAAGTTTATGGCCAACAACCGGAAAGACAACCTGACTAGAAAAAACTTGAAATTTTTCTTTGAAAAAGCAAAAAACTAGCCCTAAGCATAAATTTAACATTAAAACAAGGAAAAACTAGGAAAATCTTCAAAATTGAGGATGATTGTAAACGATCAGTTTAATATAAGTTAATTGGTTTGTTCTGAAAAAAGTCTGATGTAAACACTTTGTTATATGATTTTAAGGAACTACAGAAGTAAGGAACACATTTTGAATGCCCAGTGAGTTTTAGCAGGTTAAGCTGTATAACATTGTTTCCAGTCTCAAATTTTCACATTGTAAACAAAAGTTACATGATGACTGAAACATTTTATTCAAATACAGCTTCATTATGAGAATTGAAAACAAGAGGGCCATGATGGCCCTGAGGTCGCTCACCTGTATATAGGCCCCCCCCCCCTCCCCCCAACCTTGCAGGGCCAATTTTAACCCAAGGGCTTTTATTTGTGCAAACTTGGTAGACTACCAAAAGAAGATGTTTCATGCTAAACATCTAAGCTCTAGCTCATTGGGCTTTTTATAAGAAGATTTTTTTTAAAGTTTTTACTATACACATATAGTTAAAAACAATGACACCCCTGGGGCCGGGCCAGTTTTGACCCCAGGGCTTTTATTTGAACAAACTTTGTAGACACTAACTAGAAGATGTTTCATGCTTAATATCTAAACTCTACCTATTTGGGTTTTTTCAAAGAAGATTTCAAGTTTTTGTTATACACATATAAGGAAAAGCAATGATCCCCAGGGCGGGGCCAATTTTGACCCCAGGTCTTTTATTTGAACAAACTTTGTAGACACTCACTAAAAGATGTTTCATGCTTAATATCTTAACTCTAGCTATTTGGGTTTTTTCAAAGAAGATTTTTTAAGTTTTTGCTATACACATATCAGGAAAATCAATGACCCCCGGGGCGGTGCCAATTTTGACCCCAGGGGTTTTATTTGAACAAACTTGGTAGACACCTATTAGAACATGTTTGATGCTAAATATCTTAGCCATAGCTCTTTGAGTTCTTTAAAAGAAGATTTTTTAAGTTTTTACTATATGCATATAGGGAAATCAATGACCCCCGGGGCAAGGCCAATTTTGACCCCAGGGCTTTTATTTGAATAAACTTGGTAGACACCCATTAGAATATGTTTCATGCTAAATATCTTAGCTCTAGCTCTTTGGGTTCTTTAAAAGAAGATTTTTAAAGTTTTTACTATATGCATATAGGGAAAATCAATGACCCCCTGGGGCGGGGCCAATTTTGACCCCAGGGCTTTTATTTGAACAAACTTGGTAGACACTCACTAGAAGATGTTTCATGCCAAATATCTAAGCTCTAGCTCTTATGGTTTTTTAAAAGAAGATATTTAAAGTTTTTTCTTTCGGTTGCCATGGCAACCAGAGTTCTGCATGGAATTAAATTCTTTGAACAATTTTTAATGGTGACCACCAAAGGAACATTCCTGTGAAGTTTGGATGAAATTGGCTTAGTGGTTAATGAGGAGATGTCATTTAAAGTAAAAGTTTACGGAAGGACGCCGGACGGACGGACGCCGGACGAAAAGCGATCACAAAAGCTCACCCTGTCACTTTGTGACAGGTGAGCTAAAAAGAATGTCACTCTATTACAGCATTTCCTTCCTAGAAGACAATTTTATCCTATTTTCATGATTACATGAAGTTTTTAGAGTTTTTATTTTTGTGCTCTACATACAAAATGTTTTACTCATTTTGCTACTTATCTACACCTGATCTGCAATAAGAGTTAACTTACCTATTAAGTTCAAAAGTTTCTCCTAATAATGGATTAAAAGGTTTTCCGATCCTGTCCCAGTTAGATGATATAGCAGAAACTGCAAAGGCTGCTACATACTGAAAAAGTTCAATACAGTGACCTTTCTCAACTTAAAGAATACAATGTAAATGTAGTTCCAGTAAATCTTTCTAAGATTCTCGTAAATAAAAAGAAAATCTATCATCATAGGCACTTTAAACTTCAGAGTTTATGAACAAAATGCAATGTTGAACATCAAATTACAAACACTTAGAAGAATGTTTTTATTTTGTTGGAATAAGCTTAGTACTACAATATTACAGCAATTATGATTGGCAAAACATAATAGAGGATGTATTTAAAGCCCCGGCCCACAGGGCGAGGGATTTATCAAGTCAATTTTAGTTATGAGGGAACAGTTACAGTAAAATAAGAGTTTACCATCATTCTGTCAGCTGGATCATCTTGCATAGAGGCTGTGTTAATTAATGTTGAGTATTCCAGGTACTCAGTGATTCGCTGTAGGAATGTAAGAGGTTCGTTGAACACTACTGGCATCGTAATCTTTGACAATTCCTGATTAAAAAACAAAAACAATAACATATACTAGTATGATATAACTATAAGGCAAACATTTAGTAATTATAAGTTCAAAAACAAAATTCTCTTATTTTCATTTCAGTGTAGAAATAGTGTAAATCAAAGTAGAATTTGTACGATAGATATTTGTCACTATGTTTAACACAACACAAAATGAACTGACTGTATCTGTACCATTTAGACGTATAAAACAGCTTGCAATGAATGTTAAACCTATTACGACTTTGACTTCAGTATGATATTTTTAAATAATGGTTAAACCTATAATAGTACAGTGGAACCTGTCGAATCTGAACTCGTCCGTACCAGAAGAAAAGTTTGGATTAGAAAGGTTTCCGGATTAGAAGGTTTTTTACATGTTTGTTCATGTTATTGGCAGAATAGATAAAATGAAGGAAAACGATGATGCATTTGAAATTGCAATATAAATATTTTATTTTTGCCATATCTCTTATTGTTCATTTTAATACATGTATATACATGTATATACAAAAATAAAAAATAAATGAATAGAAATAAATAAATAAGCAAACATATAATAAATAAATTAATATAAATCCAACTAGCATGTTTAGATTAACCTAATATGGACAGACTGATAGAAAGTTCAATAACTATATGCCCAGGGGCCATAAAAATAAAGGCCAATATGAAAGTTTCTGGATGGCAACAACAATGGAACATCGACCTGACTGTAGCAATAGCTAGAAATGAGTCATTGAAAATGTTGAGTTAAAAACAACTTGATAGCAATACCATACAGAATGTAGAACACAATTTATGTCTCAGGGGATTTATCAACAAACAATCTAACATTTTTTTCCTGGATAAATGATCTGTTATGTACAGTTGATAATTTATTTACAATGTTTCTTCATAAAATAATCATCTTCACTACAATCATGGACACACTGAATAAAAAATGTGTTGATTCCATTTATGACTCCCCGGGTGTAAAAAGTCCATGCTTTTCCATGGAAAATAAGAGGCTGGAGTATTGGAACAAAATTTTCCAGCCTTTTCCAGCCTGAAGCTGAGAAAAAATGGGCTGGATAAACAGGGAAAAAACATGGAACATTTTCCATGCTGCATGGAATATTTTCCATGTTTTCCATGGAAAAGCATGGACTTTATTCCATGCTTTTCCATGTACATGGAGTATTGGAACAAAAGTATGGATTTTTTTCCAGGGTATTCCATGTGTCTGCCAACCATAGAGGCTGGACTTTTTACCATGGTAAATAGTCCAGCCTTGATGGAATAACATGGAAAAAAATCCAGCCTAATTCCAGCATCCCTGAATGTTCTTAAAATGTAAAATTCTGAGATGGAATTCAGCACAGGAATGTTTGGGGTGGAATTTTTAGTAGTTTAACATGATCACATATTTCTTTCACAAAATTTAATACATATCCTTTAGTCCAAATACAGAATAGAACATCCTACATTCACTATAGCACAAACAGTTTTTTTTACTAGCTGCAGGTTTGGTAGGTTCTGGTTGTCTTATAAATTTTAGCAATTATTTTGCTCTTAATCTGTCAATAAGAAACCTTTTTTAATCTTAAATTTGTTTCAAGTGTTTCTGATTATTTAAATTACTATTTCCTTTATTGATGTCCATTTTCAGTCCTCTGTCTGACTGTTTCCTAGAACTTCTTGTGGTTGTGCTCACCTTTAAAGATAAAATTCATAATAAATTTAACACAGATGTGGTAATGACTTATGTTTTATTGCATATAAATATTATGCAGTTATATTTCGTATCTTTTAATAACATCAAATCTTATGTTTCAACAGTATTTACTATTAAATATTCACTTAAAATGCTTATGCATATTCGAAAATACTAAAGCAATGCAGTATATCTTATTTCAAAGTGCACAAGTGTTTAAGAATTCCTCTGTACATGTATAAGAATTTAGTAAATTTGTGACAATATTTATCACCCAGTATGTATTTTTTCAAGAAAAGACATGGAATATAAAAGTACACATACATGTATTGAGATTTAAAAATATACCTTTTCAGGATTAATACTGCACATCATTATTAAACACTGCTGGTAATTCTCACAGTCAGCACTTATGTCCCAGCCTGCAAGTTATGTAATTGTATAATGTAAAATGTAATCATTGAAAACATAACACATACATGTAAATAACAAATGATTATCATATGATGTTCAGCTGTACAAAACTACTGATTGTACCATTTAGTCCTATTTAATCAAATTGATTTAATTTGTTTTATTTGTAGGAAATGAAAAAGATCTACTAACAATTGTCATTTAAAAAATATACATTATAAAGAAATCATTGAATAATTTATATTTTACAGATTATACTTGTATAGATTAAAAACAATTATCAGAAAAACAAATGCATGAAGTTGAAAATATAAAAACAACCTTGATCTCTTGTTACAAATGTTGATAGTTTGATATATATAAATAACCTGTTTCTGCATTAATGTAACTTAATTAAGGTTTATAAATACCTGATTCTGTTGTATATCTCCTTGTCCCAGGTGATTCTGATTGTTATCATACCAATACTTAAACACTTTAAATCTTAAACAAAACAATATCTCCAAAACTGCTTAAATATCAAGAACATCCTCTGCACTCTTTGCTGACCCAGATATCTTAGAATTCAAAATTTACAACAGTTATACTGGACAGGTCTATCATTATGTAAAGCAGGGTTAATCTACTCATCATTTTAACTTTTATTCTTTGAGCGTAAAAGAAAATATCAAATAGCTAAGATCATTACAAATTTTTGTACAAAAAAGATTGCAATGTCTTTCTAGACACTTTCTGCATATGAAATTTATAATGTTATCTCTCCCCAAAATAATCACATGGAACATGGAACAGCCTGATCTGAAATGACCAGTGGAGTAAATTAGTCATGCACAGATGTTGAGAAAATGCTGGTCAATGAGTTTTATCAGATCTCTGATCTGTGTAGCGTAAAATCTCAGTGGATGTAGTATTTATTTTTCTAAATATTATCAATTTAATATAGATTACGACATTCTTTCATGCACTGTTTTGTTTTGTTTATTTAATTATTTATTGTTATCCAAAAACATGAATTCTTACAATTTAAAAATGGCAAACAATGCAATCCCATCTTGATTATTATAGTGTCTGAGTGAATTTTAATCACAGACTTTAATTAATTTATAGTTAAACTTAAAGCCTGTAATTAAATGAATATTATTTCATTGTACATAACTTCATGTAAATTTATTTAAATAATAATATGTATTTTGAACAATCAATTCATTTATGTCTTTAGCATAGACATTTTTTCTGAGATACCCTTTTCAAACTGCATGAAATGTATAAAGTGTCAAATTTCAAATCATTTACAGTAACTTGCATTAAAATAATGATGATTGTATATTTTCTTTGTAAATTTACAATATTGTGCTGAATATATAAAGTAAGATTTCTTGTTGTAATTTTTACAAGTTTTTTCCAGCATACTTAGAGAAAGTTTTACACATTTCCAGCATCAAAAAAATCTAAGTTCCACTTTCCATGCTACATGGAAGTAAAGTCCATGGTTTTCCAGGCTTTTACCACAAATGTCCAGCCAATTTCCAGCCTATTCCAGCAATGCTGGAAATGGCTGGAAAAAAAAAGTCCACATAGCATGGAAAAAATACCAATTTTCCATGAATTTCCATGAAATTCCATGCTTTTCCATAGTTTTCCAGGGTTTACCAGCCTCTCTTCCAGGCTTACCCTGGAAAATCTACACCCGGGTCTATACCTTCCACTTACACTAATGATGATTATTCCAATGTTATTTAATTTCCTTATTTAACAACATCAAGGGTTTTCTTTTGATATCAATATGTTACAGAAAATAACTTCATAAGTAATATATACACAGCAATCCTGTTATAATGCTCATGTTGGGGTCAAAGGTCTCAAACACTGTCTTATAACAAGGTCCTGATAACGCTGATTGAGAAATTATTCCATTACCCCATTCACCGCTGATATATATAATGCTAATGACTTTTACTTACTGTTAAAAAATATCAACATTTTTATTCTATTAACAATTTAGTAATGTAAACATATATTATTTTGTCAAATATTACTAATTATATTAAAAAGAAACAGAAAACTTAAAAAAAAACCCACATAAATCACAAATGTAAACCGTTACTAAACGTAGCCAGAACAATTACAGGTGTACATGTAGTAAAAGGTTCCGTCTTTAGATGTGTCCCTTAGTTAATCAAACAACATTTGTCTCCTGTCTTGGAAACTTTTTTTGGCATTCGATAGAAAAAGCATGCTTTTTAAATTGATTATTTCTGTGAAATAGTTGTAAAATCTGACTTCAAATAACAAAGTTATGGGCCAGACACAAATTCGGGGCGTACGTCCGTACTCACAAAATGGTACATATGTGACTTTTCCTTTGATCTTTTTGGTTATTTTTAATTTTTTAGTCACACAAGGCTTAATAAAAGACACACAAGTAAAAACGGAATGAATAGAATCAAAGATAATTTACTATTACCCATTGTTGTCCAAGACACTAAAGTACCTCTGGGTTTATACATAAGGACGGACGGACAGACTGACGGACGGACAACCCAGCGACTATAATGCTCCCCCGAAATTTTTCGGAGACCATAAAAATCCACAAGCAAACCCCAAGATACATAAATACACATGCAGACCAACATTCTTGTAAACTATTAGACCTACAAGTCAAAAAAAAACTTTTTGAGCTAGGCATGAACAAGTTCAAAATTGCAAATTTACTGGTATACTAAGTCAAGGGCAATAACTCACACGCAAAACCCCCATGTGCACAGCTTCACAGTGATGTTGATCATTATTCCTGTTAAGCTGGTTGATTCTAACTCAAGGATCAATAGGGGTCATGTATTGGACATGACTCACAGACTGTTTATCCTATAAACTTTTACAGCTGTGTTATCTTGGACTGATATTATATAGATATATACAAGAGCTGTCGGTAGGACAGCACGCTCGACTATTCTAAGTGCTTGATAGTAAAAGAGCCTTTATAATGTTAAATTTTTTAAGTTCACAAAAGAGCTATTTTTTTTCATAAATTCATGTTATAGGCCTTAGAGAGAGTCTAATTATACAGTATTGGCTTGACTATTCGGAAGGTAATGTCACAAGGGTGTTTAATTGAGTAAAATAATACTAATTACCTATGAATACATAAATTTGACAGAAAAGGTACAAAGGCTTGTTATTAAGATGTTTTATCAAGTTAATCACTGCTTTATTATTATGAATGCATAAAATTGTCCCAAAAAAGGTACAAACCCTTCAGTAGTTATTGAGATAACATCTTACAAGCAAAACTTTACCATGAATTTTTAAGTTGAAAAAGAGGAGAAAAATCAGCCTAAATGCAAGATAGAATTATGGATCATTGTCAGTGACCTACAATTATGACCCTAAATGCATATGTGAAGTTTTAAATAAATATCTTTAATAGTTTTTGAGATATGTAAAACTATCATGTTAACATTAACCAAGAGACTAAGTAGAAAAGGGGATATGAATCAGCCTTAATGCAAGATAGAGTTATGGAACTTGGTCAGTGACATACAATTATGACCCTCCAATTATGACCCTAAGTGCATGTGTAAAGTTTCAAGTAAATATCTTTGAAGACCTTTAACCTTTAACCAAAATTTCTAAGTTTCAAAGGGGCAAATAATTCTGCAAATATTGCAGGCAGAGTTATGCAATTTTGCAAACTGATATACATTGTTACTATAAAAGAGTATTTTAAATTTCAATTGAATATCTCAAGCAATAATTAAGATATTTGACTTTACAAAAAAAACTTTAACCAAAATTTCTAAGTTCCAAAGGGGTAATATTCTGTCAATATTGTAAGAAGAGTTATCCAACTTGTCAATCTGATGTACCTTGTTACTATAAATAAGTATTGTAAGTTTCAATTGAATATTTCAAGCAATAATTGAGATATTTGACTGTACAAAAAACTTTAACCAAAATTTCTAAGTTAAAAAGGGGCATAATTCTGTCAATATTGTAGGCAGAGTTATCCAACTTGTCAATCTGATGTACCTTGTTACTATAAATAAGTATTGTAAGTTTCAATTGAATATCTCAAGCAGTAATTGAGATATTTGACTTTACAAAAAACTTTAACCAACGCAGACGCCGACGCTGACGCCGACGCCGGGGCGACTAGAATAGCTCTCATATTCTTCGAATAGTCGAGCTAAAAATTGGTTGAATGATTATTTAGAGATTAATCCTGGAGCACCTATGTTAGTCAATCTTCATAAAATAAACAAAAACACTACAATTAATTAAAGGAGTCAATAAAAACATAAAATTAATGATGCCTTAATCTGATACTGAAGAAAAGTGATCAATCAATAATTTTGTTTTTAAAATGGCATCAACTGGGGGATAAAACGAAAAATAATGCTAATCTTGGTGATCAATATTTCCTACTTCCATATATCACACTAAAGGCATAAAAACCTCTAAAAAAACCTAAACAAATTCCAACCATTATCCATTCATTCATGAAGTTTCCAATCAATGAGACTTTGGCATCATCACACAAAACTTTCATGATAAATGGCAGGAAATATTTACCCATTTTATAATCATACTCTTTGTTAGACAAAAAAACACTATCATTTTCTATCATTTGAATGTGGCCTATACTAGCCGCTTAAGATTTTATATATATAAATTACACAGGAATATCACAAGTTTAGACAGGCAAATGAAATTTCAAGCATACAACAACAAAAACCTGACTTTGGTAAACGCTTTTTGAAACCTATTCAACTTGAGATTATTCCAGACTAATTATACATAACACAAAACCTTGACAAAAAGTCCAGTGACCTTTAACTCTTACCAAAGTTAGAGAACCACACACACATGGATCAATAAATAAGGGATGTATGAATCAATGTTAAACACTAGTGACCTTGACTTTCTGACACTAAACAAAATTCAAAGTTTGAGGACCATCCAACATACATGTAATGTGAAAGTCATTGGTCAATAAAGACTGTTTATGCTAAAGTGTCAAATCTATTTGTAGCGCCAGTGACCCTTAGATTATTTCAGGTATGTACTGAGCAAATATGAGTTACAATCTTGGTAGGAAAGGCCTTAACTGCCGATGAGAATAGAATTTTTTTTCTATTAGAAACTGAAAGTATAGACACATGTATAAATAGTTTACCTAAGTTTTAATGAAATCCATTTTGTATTGTAGGAAAAGTATAGCATTCAAAAGATTATAAGGTTTGTTTGCAGTGTATAAAACTAGCAGAATGTTGTAGGATTCAACCATTTGGACATCCACAGTGGCACCTGGTTAGTGGATAGAAATCAGTGACCATTGAGCCATATAAGCCCAAAATTGTAACATGCATCACTTTATTTACCTTTCCTATACATTGTTTCAGTATACTCCAAAAACTGAAGTCATTTCTGTCAAACATCTCTTTAGGTAGCTCTTTCCTGAAAATACATCAGAACACATGTTGTATAAGATACCAGCAGTTACTATAATATCACAGGCTCCATGATATCACTCGTATTACATTTTCTTCAACTGCTAGTAAAAGCAACAAATGCCGATGCTACTATTTTAATAACTGGCACACTAAATCGCATAGCATCATTCTGTCAATAAATTTCATTTTGTGAGTAATGAAGAAAACTATTTTATAAAAACTACATATTTGAATACTATTTCCCTTTATTGTTTTTACATTGTCAATTAAAACGTTATAATCCCATATACATGGGGGCCAAGTTTAAAATACCAGAAAACCAAGATTTAGTATTATTTCAATTTGGTTTTTTATAAAAAAAGAGCTTTCAGGAGTAGAAAAAACCTTAGCTTTAGACAAATGCCTAAAAACTTGTACCCATGTACTGATATATCGCTTCTGTTCATATAGTTTGAATTTTATAGCAAGTTATCACAACTTAGTCACATCTATCCTTCCAAACTTGCATTTTTGTGGATTACTGTGATACCACAGTAACTGCCTTTGAAATCACCCAAAATGGCAGATAATGTAAAAACATTTAAACAAGAGCAACACTTGACTTTTTTACTTTTTCTAAAATCAAACAAATAAACAGTTTAAACAAATCTTTAAAAAAAAAAAAAAAAAAAAAAAATGAAATCTTTCTTTTTTTTAAATTTCAAAAGTGTCTAGTCACATTTATTGTTTTGTTAAAGTAAGAATCATTTCCATAAATAAATGACAATATTAAGAAAATATAAGCAAAATTCAATCAATGAAGGTCAAAGTCAATTAAAGTTCAAGGTTGCATCTAAAATTATTCAATATGTTTTTTGGTAGTGAGTCTTGTTTTTTTTTCTATGTAAAAAATCAAATCTGTACACAAATAACAAAATTACGACAATTTAACCAAAATGCAATAATTTGACCTTTGACTTTGATGGTAAAGGTCATTTAAAGCTTAAGGTTAAAGTCGGTTCAACCTTTTAGAAGATCTTGTCCAAAAGGCTATTTTGTCCAAGTATTTAGATAATTTATTTATTAATCACCAAGATACAGTCAATTATAGCAAAATCAATGAAAAATTCAATAGGTCAATGTCATAAATGGGCCAAGGTCAATTTGAGTTTAATATACATGAAGGTCTTATCCTAAAGAATGTTGTGTCTTAAAATTAAGTTAATTCATTTATTAATAACAAAGTTATAACAAGTTACAGCATGGCATGGTATTCTGTCAAAAACATGTAATTCTTGGTTTATTTGAAAAGGCATGGTATTCCATCAAAAACATGTAATTCTTGGTTTATTTGAAAAGGCATGGTATTCCGTCAAAAACATGTAATTCTTGGTTTATTTGAAAAGGCATGGTATTCCATCAAAAACATGTAATTCTTGGTTTATTTGAAAAGGCATGGTATTCCGTCAAAAACATGTAATTCTTGGTTTATTTGAAAAGGCATGGTATTCGGTCAAGCACATGTAATTCTTGTTTTTTTTTAAAAGGCATGGTATTCCGTCAACAAGAGGGCCATGATGGCCCTGAGGTCGCTCACCTGTATATAGGCCCCCCCCAACCCCCCCCCCCCCCAACGTTGCAGGGCCAATTTAACCAAAGGGCATTTATTTGCACAAACTTGGTAGACACCCATAAGAAGATGTTTCATGCTAAACATCTAAGCTCTAGCTCATTGGGCTATTTAAAAGAAGATTTTTTAAAGTTTTTACTATACACATATAGTTAAAAACAATGACACCCCTGGGGCCGGGCTAGTTATGACCCCAGGGTTTTTATTTGAACAAACTTTGTAGACACTTACTAGAATATGTTTCATGCTTAATATCTAAACTCTAGCTATTTGGGTTTTTTCAAAGAAGATTTTAAGTTTTTGCTATACACATATAAGGAAAATCAATGACCCCGGGGCGGGGCCAATTTTGACCCCAGGTCTTTTATTTGAACAAACTTTGTAGACACTCACTAAAAGATGTTTCATGCTTAATATCTTAACTCTAGCTATTTGGGTTTTTTTTCAAAAAAGATTTTTTAAGTTTTTGCTATACACATATAAGGAAAATCAATGAACCCCGGGGCGGGGCCAATTTTGACCCACGGGCTTTTATTTGAACAAACTTGGTAGACACCTATTAGAACATGTTTGATGCTAAATATCTTAACCATAGCTCTTTGAGTTCTTTAAAAGAAGATTTTTTAAGTTTTTACTATATGCATATAATAGGAAAATCAATGACCCCCCGGGGCGGGGTCAATTTTGATCCCAGGGCTTTTATTTGAACAAACTTGGTAGACACTTATTAGAACATGTTTCATGCTAAATATCTTAGCTCTAACTCTTTTGGTTCTTTAAAAGAAGATTTTTTAAGTTTTTACTATATGCATATAGGGAAAATCAATGACCCCCTGGGGCGGGGCCAATTTTGACCCCAGGGCTTTTCTTTGAACAAACTTGGTAGACACCTATTAGAACATGTTTGATGCTCAATATCTTAGCCATAGCTCTTTGAGTTCTTTAAAAGAAGATTTTTAAGTTTTTACTATATGCATATAGGGAAAATCAATGACCCCCTGGGGCGGGGCCAATTTTGACCCCAGGGCTTTTATTTGAACAAACTTGGTAGACACTCACTAGAAGATGTTTCATGCCAAATATCTAAGCTCTAGCTCTTATGGTTTTTTACAAGAAGATATTTAAAGTTTTTTCTTTCGGTTGCCATGGCAACCAGAGTTCTGCATGGAATTAAATTCTTTGAACAATTTTTAAAGGTGACCACCAAAGGAACATTCCTGTGAAGTTTGGATGAAATTGGCCTTGTGGTTTATGAGGAGATGTCATTTAAAGTAAAAGTTTACGGACGACGGACGGACGACGGACGGACGCCGGACGAAAAGCGATCACAAAAGCTCACCCTGTCACTTTGTGACAGGTGAGCTAAAAACATGTAATTCTTGGTTTATTTGAAAAGGCATGGTATTCCGTCAAAAACATGTAATTCTTGATTTATTTGAAAAGGCATGGTATTCCGTCAAAAAACATGTAATTCTTGGTTTATTTGAAAAGGCATGGTATTCCTTCAAAATGAATTTCAGATATGAAATAAGATATAATTTACATTTGAAATGTGTACTAGTCATCTATAAAGTGGCCACGTGACCAAGTGGTTAACTTGTCAGATTAGTAATCTAGGGATTCCTGACTGTGTGGGTTCAAAACATATCAGGGGCAAGCCATTGTTTCCATGGGCAAGAAACTTTACGCTCATTGCTTAGTACTGGTTGCATCCCAGAACAGATTTGAGATTTTTGGCATATAGCTTCAAACATAATTAAAGTAAAACAAATTTGTATAAACTAAATGAAGTTTTTATTTCATAGAATGACTGTATCTGACACAAGGGTAAATATGTTAATGAACATAAATAAAAATGATTACTTATGTAAAAGTTAATATTATCTTATGAAAAGAGGTAACTGATCAATAAGCCAATAACCAAGAAGTTCTAAATACTGGCCATATGTGACCATACAATAACCAGTTCTTTAAAGGAAGTAATTAAATGCACACTTATATGACAGATTTTAACTACACCTAGATTATTGAATTTGAGTCATCCATTTTCAAGTTTTCATGCACAACAAGTTATTTAACTGAATGTAGAGTAAACTAAATCAGAAGTATTAAGTCAACCATATAAGTATGTAAAATATTTATATTTATAGTTATTCATTTATGCTTGATAATATTAATCACTTTGAAGTCTGCTTCCTATATTAAGCAGTTCTGGTATATCATATAAAAAAACATGGTTGTGTCACTTATCAATAAAATCTGGACTGAGAGGAAGATTTCTTAATTCTGAAAGTTGTAGAAATAATTGAGACCTTCAGATCAGATCGGAGAAGTTTGAAAATACTGGAAGAAGTGAAAAGGTGCCAGGCATATATTGATTTGATCTATAAGATGTTTTCCTATTTTTTCCTATTTTACAGTTATATTCATAAACTAGAAGGGTTCCTGTCACAAATACATATGTCTCCCAAAACTACATAACAGTATTGTTACTCATGTGAAGTTTCATTGAAATCCCACCAGTAGCTTGACCTGTGAAAGACAGACAAGATTTTTCTATTTATAGCTCTGATGGCCATTTTGTACAATGAAGCAAAACATGAAGGTGATGTGCACAACTAGGGATGGTACTGATCACTCCTGTAAAGTTTGGTTGAAATCACACCAGTAGTTTGACCTGTGAAGGCAGGACAAGATTTTCCTATTTTAAGCTATGGCAGCTATTTTGTGCAGTGAAGCGGAATGTGCCAGTGATGTGCACAACTAGGGATGGTGCTGATCCATCTTGTAAAGTTTGGTTGAAATCCCACCAGTAGTTTGACCTGTGAAGGCCAGACAAGAATTTTCTATTTTTAGCTCTGGCGGCCATTTTATGCAGCGAAGCAGAACGTGCTGGTGATGTGCACAACAAGGGATGGTACTGATCACTCCTGTCAAGTTTGGTTGAAATCCAACCCGAAGTTTGACCTGTGAAGGCCAGACAAGATTTTCTCTTTTTTTTGCTCTGGTGGCCATTCTGTGAAGCGAAGCGGAACATGCCGGTGATGTGCACAACTATGGATGGTACTGATCACTCCTGTAAAGTATGGTTGAAATCCAACCAATAGCTTGACCTGTGAAGGCCAGACAAGATTTTTCTATTTTTAGCTCTTGCAGCCAATTTGTACAACGAAGCAAAACGTGATGGTGATGTGCACAACTAGGGATTGTACTGATCACTCCTGTAAAGTTTGGTTGAAATCCCACCATTTGTTTGACCTGTGAAGGCCAGACAAGATTTTTCTATTTTTAGCTCTTGCGGCCATTTTGTACTTGGTAAGCAAAACGTGACGGTGATGTGCTCAACTAAGGATAGTACTGATCACTCCTGTAAAGTTTTGTTGAAATCCCACAAT